TTGATGGCAAACCTGGACAAACGAACCCTGGAAAGGTGAAGAAGGTTCTTGCCTGAAATCTCACAGATAGTAAGTGGCAAAGTCAGGATTTGAACTCAAGTCTTCTGACTACATGTGTTCTTTCACGAAGCTCAAATTGTACTTGAAAAAGAGCTGGTACCAAGTCGATCTCTCAACTACTCTTACCGATTTCTCCAAACCGGTTCTCTCTGGGCACATCCATTTCTGGTGAACACACAAGGCTTGTAATGCATGATTCAATGGGTTCCAGCACTTTGCACAGTCCCTGGCACTTAATAAATGCTTTTCCATTCATTCATTCTCTCTTGAGTCATTGGTCCATCCAAAAAATCTAGTTTGCCTAAGGAAGAACAGAAAGAACTACATACAGCTCACTTAGGGACAGTAATACTGGTTGGGAGAGATCCTTGGAAACTGGAAATAAAAGATTCTGTGCTCTATCCTTAGAGAGCATTTTTTTTTGTAAAATAAAAAAATACATTTTAATTAAATTTTAATTTTTAATAAATACAAAAAACTTTTTTTAAAATTATGTGATGGGTTGTAACACAGAGAAAGGATTTCCCTTGTTCTACTTGGTTCCACAGGACAGAACCTAGAACAATAGGAGGAAGTTATGAAGAGGCGACTTTAGGCTCCTGTGCATTTCCTATAAGCCCTAGTGATATAAAGATAAAGGGGAAATAGGCCTTAACATCAATGAGCCATGATAGCCAAGGTCACTTCCAGTTCCTAGCCTAGGATCTAAGATCACTTTAAGAACATAAAATGTTATTGATTACAAAGGTCTTCACGATCCATTCTTTCCTCATCTCTCTATTAAGGTCACCTCATCATGGTATGGAGGGGACCCAAAGGCTATGCTAGTAGGATGCACATTCTGGAAGGTCCTGAGATTGGAAAGACTTTGAGAGGAGTCCTCCAGACATATGATTATGTCTGGCATCCAAGAACCAGTCTCTCTATGCAGACAATGGCTTGTCACCAGAAGTCTGATCACTTAGGGATGGAGTGGCTGGTTTCGTTTTGGTTTAGTTTAACTATTCAATTCAACAAACATTTTTTCAGTGTCTACTATGTACAAGACTGCATGCTAGCCATTGGGGACACGAAGACCCATCAGAGTCCTTGCATTCAAACAGCTTACCTTCTACTAGGAGAACATGATATAAAGTAAATACAAAGCACATACAAGGTAAGATCAATCAGTCTTCAAGTATTTATTAAGCATCTACTCTGTGCCAGGTACTGTGCTAGGAGCTGGTAATTCAAGGACAAAAATGAAACAGTGCCTGCCCTCCAGGAGTTTACATTCTATCTGAGGTGACATCGCTTACATACACAAAAGTATATTTACAACTATCCAAAGTAATTTCAAGCACTTTAACAATCTGGGAGATTCAGGAAAGGCCTCATAAAGGAGATGGAATCTGAGGGGCGATGTGAAACAAACAAGGCGTTCAACTCCCAAAGGCATCATGATAGCATTAATGGATGGAGAACCCATAAGAGTGAAATCATGACTACTAAAGTTCTGATGTAGCTCTAACTCAAATAGTGACTATCCATGCCAACACTGAGAAGAGGACGGGACTTAGATGCATACAATTTAGATCTGAAAGGATCCTTTGAGACAATCTAATCTAAACCCCTCTTTTCAATATGGAGAATTGGAGGTCTACAGAGAGGAAGTGGCTTTCCCGGGTTCCACCACTGATATGTAGTGTGGCATAGTAAATAAAGAGCCTTCTGACTTAAAGTCAGAAAAATCTACATTCAAGTCCCTCCTCTGACCCATCTGACTATGTGATCCTAAGCAACCTAGACTCTCCAAGCGTCACTCAACTCTCTAAAACTCTGAGGTATAGGAGAGTCGATCTGCATTAGTGAAGGAAAGTTTCCTGTGCCAAACAAATTCTGTCCTCATGTAACTGGTAAGAAATAGAAGTGAGATTTAAACATCTCTCAATCCAGTGATTCTTCTACATACCATTTAAAGTCAGTAAGAAAACCTGAGGCTGACATTTACTGCTACTTCTACCACTACCACTACCACCACCACTACTACTATTATTGCCACTACTACTAGTAGTATGACTATTACAACTATTACTAACACTACTAGTATTATTACTACTAGTAGTATTACTATTACTACCACCACCACTACTACTACTTCTATTATTATTATTACTACTAGTATTAGTACCACCACCACCACCATTACTACTACTACTACCACTATTACTATTGCTACTATTATTACCACCACTACTACTATTATTCCCATCACCACCACCACCACTACTACTATTACCACTACAACTACTATTACTACTATTATTACTGTCACTACTACTAATATTACTACTATTACCACCACCACTATCACTACTATTACTACTATCACCCCTACTATTGCTATTACTACTATTATTACCTCCACTATTACTAGTATTATTACTATTATCACCACTACCACCACCACCACCACCTACATTTGCTATCTATGTTTGCTAACAGCATTCACTAGCTACTTTTATGTGACCCCAGGCAAGTCTTTTCACTTTTGAGTTTTCTGTTCTTTATCTGTAAAATGGATAGCTTGGTTTTGCACCACTTCTCTCACAGAGTTGTGAAAGGGGAACGCACTTTGTAAACTGTAAACTAATAAACAAAGAACCACCACTGCCAGATGAGCCCCACACTAACTCCTTAAGGTAGGCAGGAGAGGGATCATGGCCACCATTTTGAAGATGAACAAACAGAGGTCCAGCTGAAGTAAAGTGATTCAGCCTAGGTCATAAGGATAGTAAGTAGCAGAGTAAGGACTCAGATCCTGGTGTTCATCGACATCTCACCTATGAAATGAGAAGGTTGGACTTGACCTCTACAATCCCTTCCACCTCTAAATCCTCTAGTCCTGTGATCTTTATGGAGGAACCAGGAAAGTCCTTAAGCAGGAGGGAGCTCCTAAGCTATGCCAGGGTTCTTTCCATGACACCAGGCTACATTGGTCTAAGGCCATTTCAAAATTCTTTCCCAAAGAGAGTTCATTAATAGGCATTCAGCTGTACCCCAATTTGCAAAAGCAGCCAATGGGGAGAATATATGTTCAGGCCAAAGCATCCATCTCCAGCGGTTTGAATGACTCCATCTCCAGCATGGGTCAGATATGACTGTGCTCCCTGGCACACTGCCAATGCTCTGATTCTGACCGCTGAACTGAGCAACTGGCATTAAAAATCCATAAATATCTGCAGTATTCATATAGCACCTGTTATATGTCAGGCACTGAGGGACACAGAAAAATATTAGATCTGGGCCCTTCCACAAAGGAGCTGACAAGTCAAATTAGGAAAACAAGTCTCACATAAAGGAAAAATAGGTAATTAGACAGGCCAGTCTAGTGACCTGGAATATTAGGAGTCAGGGTGCCTGGGTTCCAGTCTAGTCTCAGCTACTGATTGTGTGGCCCTGGCAAATCATTTCTGGGCTTCCGTTTCTTCTATAAAATGGAGGAATTGGAGGGAGGGAGGAAGCCACATGGCATAATGGATAAGGAACGAAATTTAGAGTCAGGAAGACATGGGGTCAGTTCTTGCTTTGAACATTTATTATCTGTGTGACCCTGGACAGGTCACTTTATACTTCTGTGCCTCAGCTTCCTCATCTGCAGAGTGAGGCAGTTGGACTTCGTAGTCTTCAAATCTCCTTCTAGCTCCTGATCTCTGATCCTAGGGTACCTCGAAAACCTTCCTTCTAGCATTAACACTCTATGAAACTTTGAATACACTTACGTGCAAAAAAGGGAGGGGTTCAAGGAGCTGGAGCAGCCAAGGAAGTCCTCCTGGAGGTACTGGAACTTGCAGAATAATAACTCACATTTCTACAGTTCCTTAGTGTTTACAAAATGCTTGTCTCACTGAAAAAAAAAATCCTATGTAACAAGTCCTATGGGTATTACTATCCCCATTTTAGAGGTGAGGAAACCCAGGCTTAGAGTTCAAGTACCCTCAAGTTTACCTAGGCTTACATACGTAAGTTTCAGCACCAGGATTCAAACTCAGTTTGCCAGGAGGCAAAAGTCTGTTGCTTTTTCCACCACAGCTGTTTCTCACCCCTCTGAAAGATGGGTAAGGTTTGGATAGGCAGAAAAGGTGGAAACGGTGTCCAGAGGTGTCAAACTCATGGCCAATGGGCTGCTCGAAGCCCGTGACACTCCCAAATGTGGCCCCAACCAGATTAGCCGCAAGGGACCGGTTCCACTGAGAAGCAAACAATGGGGACTCAAATTTGAGAACATTTGGGTGAGGGGAGAATTGGCTTTCTGTTAATTGGCTAATAGTCCAGTGGGGCTGTGTGTTTTGGGGGATGTGTGATGTATTGTACGTATGTGAACGTGGAGCCGAGAGTCTCCACTCAGTTCATAAAGTTCAGAAAAGATGGTTGGCAAAAATCTTGATATGGTTCATTTATCTCAATAAAAGCCCACTGGAACTCCAAAAAAAAAAAAGTAATTGGGAAGTGTTTCACCAAATGAAAAACACAACATAGATAATGTTAATTTGTGATCTTCTAAGTCAGTATGCAGCCCACTGAGATCCATTTCTATTTGAGTTCGATGCCACTAGCGTAGACAGTGATGAAAACTGGACAAAGCCCTTGTGGGAAACAGGAGGGAGACCAGCCTGGATTGACAAGAAGGGGTGCCCAAGGGAGCAAGAGTTGATCAGGCTGGAGAGGCAGGATGGGGCCAGATGGCAGATGGCTTCAAATGTCAGGCTGAGGAGTTTCCATTTTATGGTGTAGCCTCAGGCCCCTTTATCTCCAGCAGGGTCTGGCATCCCACTGTATGGAGAAAGAACTTGTCCTGGACTCTCATCTACCACTCACTCAAGTCAAAATTTCCAACACAGGGATCTGTTTCCAACTTCACAGCTGAACAAATAAAAAAGGAAATACACAAGCACCCAAAGTATTTAAAATTTCCTTTTTTCTTTTTATTGGCAAAGTAAATATATTTTATGAAGGACAAAAGAAAATATACAGAATTGTAACTTATATACACTGGCTTCATAGATTTTTTTTATTTCAAATTTACACAAATTTTGATATGTTATTAAAAGATATTTTATATAGATGCCTCTATGTACAGTTTATTTACATACATTCATAGGATGTGAGATAAACCAGTCAATACGAGCTAGTTCATTGTATGTTAATTTCTAGAGAACAGAAGGAATGCATCACTAGCCTAAGGTAGTACAGGGCGCTCTTACATACAGCATGTGCTTCATTTTGATAATGCTCTAATGCTAGAATTGCAGTGTTTTATTTGGGATTTGTCCGGGACACAGAGAGATGAAAGAAAGCCAACTGATAGTTTTCTCTGAACAGCAGCGTCTTAGTAAAGATAGCCCCTATCCCATTTTCTCTGACTACTGAGTTCTATTTGATTCTACTGTTTCTTACATTAAAACACAGATCTATCTCTCTCTCTCTCATATTCTCTCTCTCTCCCTAATACACACACACACACACACACACACACACACACACACACAGAGGCTTGCATGATAAAGCACCCATCAACAGGAATCTACAATGATTTGTTTTATTTATTCATTTATTTTTTTAAAGTTTTCTTCTTACCCACTGAGGCTCAGGGGGCTGCTGGGACCGTAAAAGAGCATCATGAAAGCCAATATCTGCCATACCTAAGTGGGGCTCACCTGGAGAATGGCCCTCTTCAGGATGGAGGTGGGCCCATGAGCACCCATGCCACCTTCCCCCACAGGCATGCTCCAGGCATCTCAAACACTATATACTCTACTGGGTTGCAGACCAGGCTAGGGGACTGGGCCCCTTCGAAAACAAAATCCACGGAAAATAGGATAGCTAGCCTCTGTAGTGGTACAGGCAGTGTGGGGGCAGGGGAAGAGTGCTAGACTTCAGTAGGACCTCTGTTCAAATCCTGTCTTAGACATTTATTCGAAGTGTGACCATGGACGAATTACTTCATCTTTGCTTGCCTATTTCCTCATCTGTAAAATAGGGGTGGGGGTGGCCTAGAAGGACTTTAGGGTCCCTTCCTGCCCACAATCCATGACCAACAATGAGATATGAAAGAAATGACCTTTGACCTACTTTCACTGATTCCTTCCTGAATTCTTGGCTTCTGTGGGATACATCCTTTGGAAATAGCATTCTGTCAGTTCCAGATGGGGGGAAACAGCTGAAATCTCAACTTTGTTTTTAAAGCTTCTTGAATCAGGACAGATTAAGTAGGAGGTACGGGCCCATAAGAAGAAACAGGGGTTTCTGAAAACCTCCTTCCATCCCTCCCCTCCCCCACCAGAGCCCTTGGCAGTGACCATAGGGACACAAAGGACTTGTTTTCGTTTTCCAAAAGGAATTTGCTATATCCAAACTGGACAAATAGGCCCAGCTTAATAAAAACTCACAATGAATAGCCCTGTTTATGAGCAAAGCCCACAGGAATGCCAGAACTGTAATTAACTAGCTACAAGGAGCCCATAAATTTTCCTTGTGCCGAAGAAAACAGCTTAAAATAAAACACTGTAATTTCCGAGGGAAGAAGCGGCAGCAAAGACATGAAAGGGGGAGGGGGGTGAAGGTGGGGGGGGGGAGAAGAGCAGGCATAAAAATAATAACCGCAGAAAAGCTTCATTCTCAAATTCCATTTGGAGGACACTAACATTCATGTGTGGTGGTGTCAGATAACAGTGTTCCCTGTTATGGAGACAAATAAATTATCGCTATAAAAAACGGTGAACAAAGTGCTGGAGTCAGCTGTTCTCGGCCCAAGAGGTGGGAGGAGAGGGCAGGGGGAGGCAGGTCAGTTCACGGAGGAGCGCACAGAGCGGTTGCTCCGGGGGAAGCGATGCACCTTGATATGCTTGGACAAGTGGTCGCTGCGGGCAAACTTCTTTTCGCAGACTGGACATTGATACGGCTTCACACCCGAATGGGAGCGTCTGTGTCGAGAGAGTTCGTCCGACCGGGAAAATCTGCCCATGTATGGGAAAAGAAGCAAGTGGTTAGAATCGGTCGACTCGTGAGCTCAGACAACAACACTGCTGGGCGGGAAGGAGGCCCTGGAGCTCCTCCAGTCCCCCTGCCCTTTGCGTCCCAGAGAAGGAAACTGAGGCTCGAGGAGATGTGTGCTGCCCGGGGTCGTACAGTGAGGCAGTGAGCACTGGGGCGGAAGGCAGCCGGCTTGCTCTCCTCCTGGACGCTATTCTTGCTGCTCCCGCTCTCCCTTATATTTCACTGTCTAATTAGGCTAATGCTCTCAACTCTCCTGGCATAGGTGCCACGGGATGGGCTGGCTCTTTTTCTTTCATGTCATCCCACTTCTAGGAGAGGGCCTGGACAGGAAACAACACGATCCATCAGTAGATGGGCCAGGGTCTTCCAGCTGCCCTGGGCCCCAATGGCTCTGGGAGGTTGGCACAGAGATCTTGTTCTCATTTGGAGGAGGGTGAAACTGAGAAGCAAAAGCCTGTTCCCCAGCTATGGAAAATGATTAGACACGGCTGGGGATAGCAGCTTGACATTTCACAGCATGTGTCGTCCATATCTCATGTCACTCCCTTACTCAAAAAAACCATGTTGGGTCCTCACTGGCTAGAAAATTGAGTCTACATTCCTTAGCTTTGCATTTAAGGACCTTCAGGATCTGGCCTAATTTTATATTATTCTTCTTTCTGCACCGCCCCCTGCCCCCAATACTGCAGCCAAGCAAGACAACTCGATAATCCTCAAATACGTTTTATAGCTTCCTGATTCTACGCCTTTGGCTCATACCATTCCTTAGGCCAGGGGTGGGGAACCTGTGGCCTTTTAGGTCCTTGGCTGCAGCCTTTTGACTGAGTCCAAGTTTTACAGAACAAATCCACTTATTAAGGGGATTTGTTCTATGAAGTTTGGATTCCATCAAAGGGCCACACCGAAGGACCTCGAGGGCCACATGTGGCCTCAAGGCCACAGATTCCCTATGCCTGCCTTAGGCCTTTCCCCCCCAGATTGCTGCCTATTGAAATTTTACCCATCCTTCAAGGCCCAGCGCCAACCCTACTGCCTCCAGGAGTCTTCCCTGATCCCTTTCCTTTCTCTTGCCAAACCCAGCACTGCTGCCTTCCAGCAGGCCTATATGCAGAGATGCCTCGTATGGCAGACTATTCCTGAAGGTTGCCCTCATTGAACAAAGCCAGGGAGAGGCCAGCTGCTATCATGCTTTACTTAAGCCTGAGAGGCCAAAGAGTTAATGGCCTGGGAAGCTTGTTCTGCTGAAAGGGCTGGGTGTCTGACCAGTGGGCCAGGTATCCAAAATCCTCTCTTTCTCTCTCTCAGCTGTTTACCCAAAGCCATCCAATGAACAAAGTTGTGGCTATTTTTCAAAATTTGGGCACAGAATAGGTAGGGACATGGGTTTGGCGAGCCAAACCACTCCTTACAAGTTGAACAATGGGCTTAATTCACACCTAAAACATTTGAGTGTAGACTTTTCAGAGAGATTTCCCCCTGAGTGGACTCATTCCATTTGGGAAGGACATACTGTTTACTGAGAAGAATAAACAGCCATCAACTTCAGAAGCCAGCTTGGAAGGAAAGATACCAGAGATTGTGTGACCAAGAGTAGAACAAACAGACAAAACAATGCCAAAAACATCATTTCCAGCAAGAGGAAAGTAATGTGCTCTGGCCCCTTGGCAGGACCTGAGGTGTCTTTGTAAACACAGCCTCTGAGCCTCGAAAGTCCCTCCCAATTGTTACTGCCCCGTCTCCTCCTCATCCCAAACTCCGGCTAGCCGATGTGGCCAGTGGGTCATGAGCTGTCCTTGTCACTCCCCCGCATGCCCCCAAATCTTGAGTCTCCTCCACTCTCAGCCACGGGCATTTCAGATGTGTCTGGAAGTGAAGCAGCTACCAACAGGAGAGGAAAAAAGCAAAGAGTATGAACTCCATTGAACGCAAACCTCCGTTCTAGATTGTAGGTCTAGACACTGTACTTAGAATAAGAGTTGGGATCACATGGCTTGCTCCCAGGGGCCCATTCGCCTCAAGAAGCCTTCCTTGACTACTCTAGCTTACTCCTAAGGTATGTTGGCTATTGAATGTCAAGTGAGAAGGTAACTCGGAACATAGGCTCTAAATGCAAAAGAAAAAAACCAAAACACCACACCATTTATTGAAGCACTGACTATGGGCAAATCACGGAGAACAAGGAATGGGAGAGGTAGAAGAACTCTTGGAAGACAGAATGCTGGAAACAGACCAACTAAGAACCAAAGAACAATGAACACTGGGGCTGGACTGGACCTTAGAACTTGGCATGTGAGTGCTGAAAGGGACTTCAGAATGTTGAAGCTGAAAGGGTCTTTAGAACAAAGAACATCAGAGATGCAAGGGTTATTAGAACACAGAGTATTTGAGCAGAAAGGGCACTAAGAGAACAGAACATAGGAGCTGGAAGAGCTCTAAGAACACAGCATGTTAGTGCTACAAGAGACTTTCAAACACACACTGTCCAAAACGGAAAGGCCCTTAGAACGTGGAATGGCAGAGCTGTAAAGAACCTAGAGTCTAAACCCCTTATGTTAACACAAGGGGAAATCGAGGCTCAAAGATGGCAGCCTCTCTGAATTCATTAGAATTCATGTAGTAGCAGAGTCAGACTCGCATCTCCTTGGATCTCCTACGTCCCTCAGCCAAAGTTTGTTTTGAATGGGAGAAGTGAAACTGAGTTTGCAAATGTCCAATTCTGGCTGACCAGTACTGCAATAATCAGGCAATGTTCCAACCTTAATTCCCAAACTCTTCTCGGGGTCTCATGCCACACTAGCCCCTATCCAGAGAAGCCCTAAATAGAGACCACTTAGGATACAAAAAGAGGCTGGAGGGCAAGGCCGAACAAATGCTGTTCATCTCTTTAGAAAGGATCCCTACTGGGGCTGTAGGGGTGTCACATGGCCGAAATGTGTGTGTTACTTGAGCCATGGAAGAAGTGTGAGTTAATATGTTAAAAATACACTGGGTCTCATAACCAAGGTCTTAGTGGAGAGGCAAGAATTTTGCAACACTGTTCCCCAGAGCCCCTGGGGCAGATCGGCTTACTGAGGCCACGGAAATAAAACCCTAGGCATGTTGCTTGTGGACAAAAGGACAATTCCTTAAAGCCAACATGTGGGACTGAGAGAAAGCTGGGCATTCCTGAATCAACGGATGAAACAAGGTACAGTGGAAAAAATGTTAGACCTGGATTTAAATCCCATCAACTCCCACACACACACACACACACACACACACACACACACACACACACACACTAGCTGTGATCAAGTGACTTCAGTGGTCAGTTTTCTCTTCTTCAAAATGGGTGAGCTGATCCCTGCCCTGCCCTGCCCTACCCTGCAAAAGGAAGGTTGTGAAGATCTTTTGAGATAACAGGTTATGGAAACACTTTGAGAGCAGTCAAGTGCTTTAAAAAAAAAAGTGAGGGGTTGTTTTTATGATCAAGTGTTTTATTCCAGGTCACACAGCTAGTAAGAGGCAGTTGGGTTTCAGATCCCAGTATTCTGACTCCAGGCCAGGCACGCTTTAAAGGAGAAGATAGTCTCACTCTAGGAGCACAGAATGAGCATCTGCCCTGAAGGCAGCCTTAGAAATAAGCCAATCCTATCCTCTTGATTTAAACATAGGAAACTGAGGCCAGTGAGGTCAATTCCAAAGTCACATATCTACAAGAGCCAGATCTCAGATGATGTCAGTTTTCTTTCCACTAACACAACAGAAAAACAGACCTCTTGTAAACCCAGCTAGGGAATGAAGAATCTAGTTAATGTGGGTGCAAATGTGGGGTAATCTCAGGGAAAGAAGATTAATGAAATGGCTCCGGTAACTGGGAAGCTAAAGTATCGCAGCTTCAACATAAGTGAATGTACCCAAGACCAGAATGGGTTGCTACGACTAGAAACCATGTGACTATATGTTCAGGGAACAGAAGACACTCAGCTTAGAAGACAGAGGAGAGATATAACTACTGTCCTGAAACACCCAAAGGGCTATCACGGCACCACGGGAGCCAGCTTCCGCCTCTTAGCCCAAAAAGGCAGAGTTAGATTGAAGCTGATTTTCACTTAGTTTAAGGAAGAAGCATGGGAACTGTCCAACAGAAGAATGGGCCTCCTTGGGAGGCCATGAGCTGCCTTCCTTGAGCCAAGGCGGAATGGACACCTGTAAGGGATGCTGCATGTGTGTGAAGGACTGGGGAGGTCATTCCTGTATTCAGGGAGAGCTCAAGGGTCTATAGCTTTACAACACTTTGCATTTTCCAAAAAAATTCTGGCCATGTTCTGGCAACACAATAGAACATATTAGTCACAAAGTAGAAGAGGAAGAACAGGTAGGTTGACCCTAAGGATGCTAACAGAGTACTATGCCCCTCGGATGACAGTCCCTTATGTCTGTAGAGTGCTTTTATATGGTTCAAATCCTGACTCCGACACTTACTCTGAGGGACAGAAGACAACACTAGAGACTTAGAAAAGCCAGTAGGATTTCCCAAGGTCAAAAGACACGTTCGTGGCAGGATTGGAATTTGAACCAAGGCCTCAACTCCAAATCAAGCTTTCCCTCTACTCGACTCCCTGAAACTGCCACCTCTCCCTGACAATCTCAGCAACTTCTTAACGGGGTATCTCAATCACGGTCCCCTTAGCCACATGGATAAAGAAGGCCACTGAAGGTCCTTGAGAAGGGCAGTGACAGAAACAAAGAGGTGTCTGAAGAACATTAGCCTGGTAATGCTATTCAAGATATGTTCAGATTCATTGGTTCATTCACAAGAGGGGGGGACGGACTAGGACACCCCTGCCCACAGGACCAGGACAGTCTGCTGAAATGGGTACAGAGAGCAGATAACCATTTCTTAGGGCCATTCCACAGATGGCAGGCACCACGGCAGCAGGAAGCCTAAACCACCTGCTTACCAGCGCAAGACAAATCC